TGTGTGTCGTGTGTGTGTGTGTGTGTGTGTGGTGTGTGGTGTGGTGTTGTAGTAGTAGTGTACGTACGTACGTAGACGTAGTAGTATGAGTATACGTTGTGTGTGTGTGTGTGTGTGTGTGTGTGTGTGTGTGTGTGTGTGTGTGTGTGTGTGTGTGTGTGTGTGTGTGTGTGTGTGTGTGTGTGTGTGTGTGTGTGTGTGTGTGTGTGTTTCAGGTCAATTTGTATTGAAAGTTGGAGGGTTATTTTTTCCCTAGGGACATTTTAATTTCCTGTTCCTCTGTGAAATCTACTTCAAGTCTTTCACATTTGCATTTCAAGAGCAACTATAGGGGCAGCTCATCCCAAAATCAAAAATATATATTTTCCTCCTACCTGTAGTTCTGTTTATCAATCTTATAATGTTATGGAGTAAGTTGTACAGTTTTGAAGATATCAGATGTATGTATGTCTGCTTTTTCTCAAATAAAGTCCATTATATCGGAGAAAATGATGGCACTCGGTTTGTGGTGCTCAAAACGCCAAAATAAATACATTTAATAAACTCAACCGCTTTGTCTCTTTCCATAAATCATGATCTGGTAACTCAAGATACAGAGCATTTTATCGTAGGAACTATTAATTACTCCTGAGGGGTGATATGGTTGCTGGTTGTAGTTTGGCAGAAAGAAAATAATTCCTACATAAAACTGCTCTAGATATGTGGATTATTTTTGGTAACTGGCTGATGATTATGGAAATAGACAATGACTTCTATTGTATTGGAGAGAAGGCAGACATCTCTACGACCAATATCACCAACACAAAGCAACTCACACCAATCTATATTGATAAAAAGAACTAACATTATGAAACCATTTATTTAATTGTCCCTTTAACACGTTGAAACTCAACAACAAACCAATGAGATTTAAAATACTGCAAAGCTAGTGCACAGCCCTTCTGGGTTTGGGGCCCTTATGGGAATCATGAGATGCGACATTTGGAGAGCTCACATCTTATCAACAGTTGAGGGCCGGCTCAGAGAGGACTAACAGGCAAGACAATTAAGGCCTCAGTGCACTATGGGAACAGGAGTGTACATTTCCCAGTGAAAATATATATATATTTTTTTTTTAAACCAACAGTCTGATGCAACGTGCTTGGTTGGCCTCTCCAAACCAGAGCTGCCCTCCCACCTCACCACTTCAGGGACAGGATTTACTGCTGCTCTCTGGGAGCACAGCCCAGTGCCTCTGAGGACTGTGTTTGGATGGCCTCTCAGCTATGTAACAGCCCTATTCTAAAACACATGGTGTGTGTGTGTGTGTGTGTGTGTGGCTGTGTGCAGGGAAATATTTGGAAAGATGTTTGTTAATGTGGCTCTCAATGTTCTGCACTTTCCTGGACAATGTTTTATGACCGTGGAGTTGGCTGTGGTTACCATGCATAAGGCACATCAAACCAATCTGGATGGTGTCTTTAAGTTGGCATCTTTAAAGTCTTTTTTTAAAAGTCAGTACCTTACAGCTTTATGGATGGCTGTGTGATTGGCATGGCCGCTCACTCCGCTCCCATCGAAGGTCAGCACCTGAAACAACAAAATGTCTCACTGTGGGTGGTTGCAAATCCAGCATCTGGGTATCTAAAAGTGAATTTAAATAAACGGAGGCAAAAGATTTTTCTTGGGTTTCTGCGTCTTGACTTTGGAGCTGTTTGGCAGCTGACAACTGATATTTAAAGCCTTTTTCTGTGTGCATGCTTCCACACAAGAGGAAGCAAGAAACAATCAGGTCAAAGGGAAAGAAAAAGTGCTTGACTAAAGACTTGGCATTTGCTATGTTCAGGCGTATTCTACCATGACTATGTCGTTGCAATCAAGCATCAGTTCACAAGTAGACTTTGTTTTTATCCCTCATGACCTGTATATAGACAATCAAGAGATTGCCGTGGTTTAAGACCAAGGAAACACGTAATTCAGTTTAAGAGCGAACCACATTTTACTCATGATGCTTATCTCTGTTTTTTCTGCATACATTCTTTAGAGAACTCATGATTCTCAAGCCTACTTTTTGGTCAAGAGGAATTCTTTCTGCAGAGCCTGACAGGATGGGAGGTAACGGTATGTTTGTTTGTCGTCTTTGATAAGAAGAAGAGATCAGCGACTGCAGCATAAAACAATGCAGCTGTATTTGATAAACTTGACTTAAGAACTTTTTTTTGTCATGGCTGCTGTACTTTTCATTTGTCGGAATTTTACTATTTTTGTAGTGGAATAACAATTCTTTGATTTCTAAATTAGCCACATTCCCATGAGTTAATAGTACGGAACTATACTGCGGCAGATAAGCATCTATGTAAATAACAAGTTGAATCCAAACTTTCAACTCCAGCAGAGGCCATTTCCTCTCATTTTCAGGGAGGCTCAAAATAAAGTCTGAGCTGGACAAAAAGAGACGCAGTCTGACAGGAATACTATGCAGACCACAAGGAAAATGGGACAATGAGCTTGTGACATGAGGCGCGAAGACATATGGTTAAAACTTAAGAAATCAATACATGGATTTTGTACGCAAAAGGGCAGGGAAATGGTTTGTTGACAGGAAATGAGGAAAAAACAACTGCTAAGAAAGGAAAGAATTCAGCGCGAGGCTGAGCATACCATGTTGAAGGAGTGCTCTCTCATGTGCTTCACAATTAAAGAAGAGACCAGGGAGACGCTCCATTCTGCTTTGGGATCATCTGGGAGTTTTCTGGAGGGTGAAAAAAAGGACGTAGTTATCTTCCATGGGATATTACTGATAAACAAGAGTGCATTGTGTCTGCGATGTAACCTTGCGTAAATTCTACACGACATAAGCATGCTTGGTGTTTCTCAGGCGCCTACTTTTTTACGAGTTTTGGGAATTCCAGGGGGTTAGGGGTCAGACGACCCTCAGCATCATGTTCATCTGAAACTACAGCCTGAAGACAACACATTACATACACATCACTTGGCCAACCCAAGTTTGTGACTTACTCTACATGCAGATACAAATAGTACCTCCCAATTGAAAGAATAGAAAAAGTTTTTTTTTTGCAGTTGTTCAATGCCCTCAATAGAAACCAGCCACCATAATAAAGAATAAATGTAGTAGAACCAGTTTGTCCACCAGATATGATTCCTCTGATTTCTGTTGTTTAAAACACAGACAACAAAGTAATGACGGTTTGAAAACCATGGGGGTCTCGGTCTGATGAGATAAGCAGAAAGATCAGTGACATGATGTGTTGCTGAACAATTTAATTTAACAGGTCCTTCCATTTCAAATGCTTTGATGTTAAGATAGATCATCTGCTATCCTGGAAAGACCACATTGAAGCTGTCTGGAAAAGGACAAAACAAAGACTTTTCTACAGTATTGTACATTTCTGTTTACAGCTTGGAATTTTACACCAAAAGAAAATCTGCTCAAAGATTGTAGGCCATTCGTTCGTTCCACGATTTAGACTGAATAATTATTTTGTGCACCGGTCAATCCTAAAAATAAATATGGAATTCAATCCCAGATCAAATGGTCATTAAAGGGGCTTGGTAACATGTTGTAAGACTTGATCTGACAATAGTGTAACATCCTAGGGCTGCTCAATTAATCGTATTTTAATGGCAATTACGATTTTGGCTTGCAACGATTATGAAAACAACATAATCGAAATAAAACGGTTATTTATTTTATTTTTTAATTATTTATTTTATTGGTTTTTCAGTTGAATTATACTTAAAGTTCAGGGTAATGAACTGTTAAAAACATACTGTTCAACATTTTTTTCAATAAATGGATGTTTTCAAAGTAAATGGATAATCGTTTTTAATAATCTTGATATCAATTATTGACCCAAATAATCGAGATTATGATTTTTGCCATAATCGAGCAGCCCTATAACATCCTCACATGGGGTGGCACATAGATGGTGTGACAGTGCATGTATATGTACGTTTTTTAAAGTGGGGGTAGGTGTGTGTGTGTGTGTGTGTGTGTGTGTGGGGGGGGGGGTAATAAACAGTTTCTTCCCTCCCCTCCGTTGCTAACAATGAGCCGGGACAGTTGGGCTGGTCGGGGGAAGTGATGGATTAGAGCACTGATCTATGGGTGGCCAGTGATGTGAGGGTCAGGCTACGGTGTATAGAGGTGGAGGGTTGGGGGGGAGGCTATGTCATGGGGAGCAGGGGTGGGAGGAGGGGTTCAGAGATAGTTTAAAACTGTCCGTCATCGAGTGAATGCACTGCTGACATATCATAATGATTGTGTGGGATGGCACAGGGAAATTGATTCAAACTTCTCTAAAATGTTCAAGGCCCCTAATGTAATAAAAGGTAATAAAACAGCAATTTGGGAGGATTTGACAAAAGTGTATGAATTGTAAAATACCATTCCGAGTTCACAGCTTGGCCACACTCATGCATTTCTTAATGTTGCCCTATATTCTCTCGTGCATTTATTAATTTATTATCTGAGGCATTTAGCAAAGCACAAGCCTGCATGGGGGGGGGATGAAAAATGAACAAAAGACACGAGACACCTGACCTTTCTCATGCAGGATGCAGGCAGAGTTAGCCTCGCCATGGCAACAGTGCAAAATGTCCTAAAGTAACCTCCCCTGCTCCGCTTTTGTAGCGTTGCATGTGGATGTGTAATTGCTTGCAGGCATCTGTATGTAGTGGTTGAACTTTGGCTGAGTAAGGCGGATTCAGTAGGTGTGTATGCGTGTCCGTGTGTGAAAGAGGGCTTGGTTAGTCTGGTCACATGGACCACAGGCCTGTGAAACTGCCAGGCTTCTATCCACACAGTCAGAGAATGTCCTGCTGGGAACCGCTGTGATGCCACTACAAACTGACAATGCACCAACAATCTCACTCTGTAATGAGGCAGTTAATACAGCAACACCAATAGACACACTTTGTTACACAATCATTTAGAGGCATTTATCGTCCCTGGTTTTTTCAATATTAACTCATTTTGAGATAATAAACTGACTAATTATGTAAGTAGTGTTTAGAAAGAGAGGTTGTTGATAGAAAGAGAAAGCTAATGTGACAACATGTCATGTGTGTTGCCGGCAGCAGGATTGAGTTAAGCAACTGTTTGACTATTCAGAGAGCCAGTGTGTGCTGGTGACAAATGTATCTGGGATAAAAGCACAGCCACTGGTCAGGGGCAAGGCTGGAACATCTCACCACTATTTACTGCACTCTGCCGTGTGCCTTTTGAATTAGCTACAGCTATTACCACGAACGATGAATATTTAAACCTTGTATGGGGATACGGTGTTACTGAAGTCAATACGGCTTTCCTTTCCACAAACGTAATGCTTATGTCTTTGTTTACATCCAAAGAATGATTAACATACATAAAAAAAAAAACGTATTAAAGTCTGTTATAATATCTCAGTAAATATTTTTTCTAACTTTCTAAGTAAAAGAGAAATAAGTAGAGGAATAAAAGTTTTAAATAAATGTGATGTTTGTTATAGAGTTGGTTCTGTCTGGTTGATAATGTAATGAAGCGTCGAGGTGGTTGGATGTGTGCAGTGAGCAGCTATAATTGAGTCCAGGGAGCAGACAGAGGTCAGGCCAGTGCAAGTGGAGAGGCAGCAGAGCGTGCTCAGATCCAGCTTGATCACAAAGGCCCCAACATGCACTGGGGCCCCAGATACTGTCTACACAGCTATCCTATTCAGTAAGCATTAAAGGGAAAATCCTATTTTAAAGCAGAATTCACGTGTTATTCCTGTTATTCCATAGCATAGGCTTTAGTTGAGGAAGCAGGTCTTGACATGCTTTCAGTTTACTAATGCACAGATTTTTATGGTACATTGCTGCGTACTTTGCTGTGTTACAGCAACTCGATAAGTGGAATAATGTGAATCCATAGTCAATAATGTGGGTTACATGCATCCTTGTGCATACAAAAACAAAACCCCCTTCATAGAAAAAGAGCCCATAGAGGTCAAATACTCGTTGGGTAACCATTTATTTTTAACCAAGACATCATTTGAAATTAATTGACTCAATGAGATGGATTTGATTAAAAACTGTAACAACATTTGAACCTAGTCCAACTAAATCTATATTGACAAGTAGATGCTGACAAAAGGTGCACCTTCCTGGTTTGTGTTCGCATTACAAAAACATAATAACTAGCTTGGCATAAATGGAAAATGCTAATATTTTAAACAACCCATACACTGAGGAGCTGCTCTAGATTTTTCTTTATAGCATTACATACAAATACTATGTCTTGAACTAAGGGGCTAGGAGCTTTAAAACAATAGAGCTCAGTCTTGAAAATGTTACTTCAACTACTGTTAATTAGCATAATCAAACCTCCAATCATCTTAGTATAACTCCAATACATTGTTAAGATGCAAAGGGCTTTGGATTCTATTGAAATTGTGCAGCTTTTTTCTGTTTGTGTAAATATGAAAAAAGGGACAGGTCACCAACTGTTGCGCAACATGTTTTTCTTTCTTTTTGTTTAAAATGACGAGCATAAAAAGCAGGGAGAGGTAAAGTCATGGATGAACTATACTTTGGCAGAAAAGGTTAGGAGCAAAGCCAAAGTGTGGCTCTCAATATGCAGACACATAAAGGGAAAAACAGCTTGGAATGACCTACATTAGCTGTGCTCAGAGCATGGCCAAAATGTATCCCACAGTCCTTGGCAGTTGGCAAACGGACAAGAGGAGGAGAAGGAGGAGGGGTGGTGGAAAAGAGTGGGGGAGCAGAGAGAGAGAAAGAGAGAGAGAGAGAGAGAGAGAGAGAGAGAGAGAGAGACAGAGCTTGTTTGGGAGAGAGTGGGGCTCTCAATGTGCTGATTAGGTTTGTGTTTTGAGCAAACAGCAGAATACACAGAAAGGGAAAATGGGCTACTCTCCAGTTCAGCAGAAGTGCAGACAGCACTAAGTTCAAAGTTCAGTGATGCTCTGTGTGCACAGGATGATAAAACTGCATTTAAAATACCCCACACACACACACACACACACACACACACACACACACACACACACACACACACACACACACACACACACACACACACACACACACACACA